TTAAAGTCACCTGTATTGACATATTTTAAGTTCAGCTTGTTTCATATTTATTTAGATAGGTTGTTTCTAGGTACGGTATTGTCTATTTACACACTTGTGTAAACTAAAATGATGTAAACATCACGACAAAATGCTTATGAATCATCCATTAGTGTATTTTCTTGAAGCAGACCCCGGACCTTATGAAATGCTCTGGTGGGTCATGTGCGGCCCACAGGCCATAGGTTGGGCACCCCTGGTTTAGGGTACAGATATTGTGGATAACAATGGGAGACCTGTACATGGATCCAAGACAATATTTAGCCCTAATTTTGTAAGCAAAGCTATACTCATCCCTGATGAGTCAGCTCATCCCTGCTAGCACTCATTGTCACATGTGTCAGCAAACCACTTAAACCTTGCTTTTACTTATTTAAAAATTTACCTGTGTCAAAATCAGCTGCATTTTTTTTTATTAAAGCAGGACTTGAGTCTCTCAAATAGAAGAAATATCACGGACGCATGCCGTTATTCGCGATTCATTTATATTTAATGCACATCAGGAATTTGGGGCAAACTTCATCTGAGAGACTCATTAGTGACTTTATGTATGTGCCTCCCCAGCAATGATTTGAAAATGCATCTCCTCAAGGCCAAGCAGATACCTTAAGATTAAAACTGTGAAACACTAGAGACCAAGGACACTTGTTGATAGAAGTTTTAGCCGGGTGACATACTGATTGCAAACTGAGCCCTTTGGTCTTTTGACTGAATTTATAGTGTGCTAGCTGCAGCTGTTATTAAGCAGCTGGTTGTTAAACTGTGAAGTATTTTTCCTTTGAAAAATATTTCAGTCATGCTAGCCATAAGCAGAATTTGGAAGTAATTTTTAGTAGATCTCTTTAGTAGATTCCACTCGACCCAGAACTCAGTCAATAGAATGAAAAGAGGCCTTATTGATCACCCTGTGCAGAGTTTATGCTGAGATAAAGTTGTCCTGAAAGACTTCTTAGTAGTGTGAGGGACTCGTGGTGGTGGTAATCTGAAAGGGGTGCATTAAGCTAATATGGCTCTGATTTGAAAGAATTTCTGTTGTGGAACTAGATGGAAGGCTTTTTTGGGTTCCCTTTATTATTAGACCGGTGTCCAGTAGAGTGGCTTTGTAATAAACTGCTTCACTACCATCTTTTCTGTTTCAAAAAGGGTTTCAAGTTGTACAGTTTGTGACCTGTGTGAAAAGACTTGGGGCACGTCTTCACTGGCAACGTTAAAGCGCTACTGCGGCAGCGCTTTAACGTAGCTTGTGTAGTTGCGGCACAGCGCTGGGAGAGAGATCGCTCTAAAAAAACCCCACCTCCACGAGGGGAATAGCTCCCAGCGCTGGGAGCATGGCTCCCAGAGTTGGTGCACTGTCTACACTGGCACTTTGCAGCGCTGAAACTTGCAGCGCTCAGGGGGGTGTTTTTTCACACCCTCTGGCAGAGAAAGTTGCAGCACTGTAAAGTGCCAGTGCAGTCAAGCCCTTGGTCTCCTGTTCCTAGGGGGATAGGTGTCTGTTGTTGTTGTCAGAATCAAAGAGATGCAAATGACTGAATGAGAATGGAAATGTAATCTGCTTCTTACCTCTACAGTTGGTCCCTCCAGGTTATGGAAGATTAAGGTACATCAGCATGACAATGTGAGAAAGCTTTCAGAGCCATGACCTGTGCTGTACTTTTCTATGTACCAACAGAAGACTATTAGTGACTGTGTTCTCAATAATTATTATAATACTCAGCACTTACCTAGCTCTTTATACCACAAAGCAGTGTACAAAGGTGAGCTAATTAGTTAAACTTGCACACTTAGTGAATACTTAAAATCCACCAACTTCTTCCCCTTTGAAGGGAGTGTTTCCCAAAAGGGAAGATGCTCCACCTTGGGATTGTGCAAAAGATGAGGTGGTGAGGTTGGATGGGGGAACCACACACAGACCTCCCGGTTGTTCTCCAAAGGTTCAGCTTTCATTTGAAAAATAAACAAACCCCTGTTACCATTGCCAAAGCAAATCTTTAAAATGTAAGGCAAGTATAATGAATGAAGACACATCTGCCTGAGTTTGCAAAGAGCCTAAAAGAGGTCTGATGACATTCACTTCAATAGGTGCTAACATGGATACCAATGATGATACTTCAAATGTCAACAATGTTAAGTATACTACGGCACATCAAAGCATGTAAGAAAGGAGAGGAAGTATCATCATATTAAGAAGCTCTGCACCAGCATTTTCCAAGCTAGTGTAAGAATGGGACCCCTTGAACTAACTGGGGGACATAGAGATGTAATTTAAGATGTTTAGTCCTTTAATAGGTTTCAGGTTTCCTTTAATAGCCCAGCACTTAGCAGGCTTGTAGCAGAGGTGCAGCTGGTTTCACTTTTCTGGATGGGGCTCAGTTTTTAAAAATGTGTACAACACCGATGTAAGAAATGGCCTATGACCAACTGCAGAGATGACACTCAAGGTCAATATCCATTTTATTAATAAAAAAGATATATCCCCTTTTTCAATAAAGGCAAAGACACTCCCTTCTACCAACCAAACTAGAAAACTTTGGAATCTACAACATCTTGGCAAAACATTTCCTTTCAAGAGCTGATCCCTGAGGTGATGTTAACCTGGGATAATGAGGACCTTTGTTCATCTAGCTTTCTACCAATAGTTGCATAAAAGTAATATTACACCTTTCAAAAACAGGCAAATGTGGTAAGTTGTCATTTTGAAATTTAGTTCAGCACAATGGGTCAGTTCTGCTCTCCTTGGCATTGGTGTAAGTTGAGGAAGACTCCACTGAAGTTATTGGGGGTTCTCTGTTTACACCAACATGAATGGGTTCAGAATGTGACCATAAGTACTATAGGAAATGAAAAGTAGAAGAAAACACTAGCTCAGTAAGGGACGCAATTGTAAGGACATCCTACACTTTTAAAAAAAAGTTTTACCAATTATTTTTCTCATATGAGTCTGTTACTTTACATTTTGGTTAAAAATATATGAAAATAATGATAAGTTCAGATGGTAACTTTTAGACAGTGCCAATATAATATTGCATCATTACAGTGCAGTTTAACTCCTTGTTGTGTCCTTTTAAACTAAACTGTACTACTGTACAGTATCTCTTTTAGCAGCTAGATCTCAGCTTATCTATGGAAGGAACATTCTACTGGTAAAACATTTGTCAAGTTTGTTTGTTTTTGGTGTGAAATATTAGCATTTGGAATTATATCTGTCCACATGGTCATCTTCCAGCTATTACATGTAGGTTCATACCCTTTTCCTAGCATCAGGTTCTGGCTGAGTCAGCATGCTCGAAGCTTCCATTCACTTGATATCAATGGGAGTAATATGGGCATATTTCAGAGAGCAGAACTGGGTCAGAAATAGGGAGCCCAACTTGAAACTTAGGCTATGTCTACACTCGCACTTTTGTCGGAAAATTTTTTGTCAGTCGGGGGTGTGAAGAAAACACTCCCGTGACGGACATAACTTTCACCGACAAAAGCTCCAGTGTGGACAGTGCTGTGTTGGCAGGAAATGCTCTCCTGCTGACATAGCTACCACCGCTCGTTGGGGGTGGCTTAATTATGCCCACAGGAGATCTCTCTCCTGTTGGCACAGAGCGGCTACACTGGCACCTTACAGCAGTGCAGCTGCCGCGGTACAGCTGTGCCACTGTAAGGTCTGTAGTGTAGACACAGCCTTAGGCACTCTTGTTCAGGATCAATTCTCAATGCCCAAATGTGGAACTGGAGTTCTCAGTTTACTAAGTATTACTGAGCATCTGCAGTTCCCATTGACTTCAATGGGTGTTGGAGCTACTTGGCATCTCCCAAGGTTTGGGTCTTTATAGCTCAGATCCTCACTGATATTTACCGTAACTCCCATTGATTTCAATGGAAGTTAGGTGCCTAAATACCTTTTGAGGATCTGGGCAAATTTGACAAAAGGACTCCACAAAAAATTCTGAAGGCGTTGCTCTCTTGTGGTTTGTGGTGGTACAGTGACTCTGGTGACTTCACAGAAATAACTTCCTCAGAGAAGACTCTTTCCTTATGGATTTGATAATGTGTTTGGTACTTAACATTACTTTGATCCATCTGCTCAGCACTTACACACCAGAAAGTATTAATAAGATTTTAGATCCAGATTGTGTCCTGCTGTGCATGGATATACTCGGTGTATATATAGGTATACTTGGTCCTGCCTCAGTGCGACTAGATGACCTCTAGAGGTACCTTCCAGCCAAGCCCTACATTTGTATGATTCTGTGATATGCAAGAGGATGTGGGACAATGGCAGAAGGAACCCTCCCATGTTCTGTGCCCCTTTGTTGTAGCCAGGCACAGTCCTGAGGTGACCAGAAAATAAAGTGTGAAGTGACCAGAGTTGCTCTCCCTCCGGCAGCTAATGGAACTGGTAGCAGTGTGGGGAGAGAGTGGGCTTTGTACCCATTGCAAGGATGGCTGGAGCTGCTGCTACAGTGTTCACCCACTGGGAGCTCCAGGAGGAATTCTGGCTGACTCAGTTTCTCCTAGTGCTCCCACTACATCCCAGCCACTCCTCGCCCTTGCGTATGCAGCTCTGCCTTGTTGGTTTGAAAGAAGTTCTTCTGAATCTCAGCATAAGGAAATCTTGCTATTTCTATTGTCAAACACTAGTTTATTTTCCCATGCATTGTAAGCAAAACTGACATTGTCTCACTATTATGCAATAAGGCAGTCTTTATGCAGGCCGAAGTCCTGTTGACTTCAAACAGGCATGTGCACACACAAAGACTAGACAGTTGAGCCATGCACATCCGTGATTTTAAAAAAGCTCTTTCCCTGCATTAGGTAATGCACATGGAAACATATACGTAAGGTTGCTATAGACTACCTATGCTAAACAATGTCTCCAGATGTAGGGATTAAAAGCAATTGTAATTCTACAAAGACCTCGAACTGTGCCATTTTTCCATATCTCTCTCTCTTTTTTTTTTATACAGTTCTCCTGTGCCAGGTGATGTCATAAAATTGGCTTCTTCCACTGATTCTTCCAAACAACTGTTAGCTGATTCTCTGCCTTGTGAAAATGTTGCTGCTCTGGGTGCTGCTGAGTTGACTGCAGCAAGGTACAGTAAGGGTCTCATTACAGTCGTGGTGATGAAAAGCAACTGAAAACTTCCTTGTGTCATGGAGGGTACTAGCCACTGGTTTTGGGATAGGGGTATGTCTAGTGCATCCAGATGATATGCTGTTTCAGTGCCTCTTCTTGGCAGTCTGTCACTGAAGCGTCTGTAGAATCTATGCCAGAATTTAAAGCTGCCCCCTCAAATAGAATCTGCAAGGAAAGGTAGCATATCCCTCCCCTGGGCGAGTGAGTCTCCCTGGGGCACAGCAAAGGCTGGTGGCACAGACAGATGCAATTTATACCTTTATTAACTTACACCTTTTTCTCAGCACAAGGTGAGTTGGCGCTTCATGTTTAGACCTTTTCTCCTAATATTTAAATTTGCCAGATTCTTTGCTGGAATGATGCTGATATTAACAAGGTTAGTTATCTGGAGTGGATTGGAAATTCCAGTTTTTATTATACGCTGCCTTTTTAGTGATGTGAGCAGATTACTGTGGCTCTTACCTATATTGTTTTCAGTTGAACTTTCAAGAAAGGAGGGGCTGAGGCATAGGAGTTCATGTTTTAAACTTTCAACAGTAGATGTAGTTTTAGGGTTAAATTTTCTTAAACATCTAAGTCATTTTCAAAAGTGACTTAGGCCCTAAGGAATATACAGCCAATGAATTTTAGGCTCCTAACTGCCTAATAATGTTGAAAATGGGACTAAAAGCATGCCTATCCAATCCCCCTTGTTCCCTGTCCCCTGACCCCTATTCACACCCCCCCCCCCCCGCCCACCCCCCCCCCCCCCCGGGACTCCCACGCTTGCCTTGCCTTTAGTGTAGACTAGGGGTTAGGCTCCTAAATCACATTGACATTTTAAAAATTTAACCCGTCTTTTTTTTCCTCTGCTATTTCAAATACTATATTACTTTAATTCACAATAGGGAGAATTGAGGTCGAAAAGAGGCACGTTAAACAAAACTCTTCCTAACAACTTAAGGGTAATTAGCATAGGTTTTTGGGGAGATAAGGATGAGAAGTTAGTGATTTCTTCCTGCTGTCACTGCAAGGTTTTAATTAATATGCAGATTTCATCGATGGCTCCTTTACAAATGTAATTGGTTACTGTTTACACTGATGTAGGCTTCCTCATCATTATAATTCTGAATTTCTACCATAATGATGAGCCTGTTAGAAAGAGAATGAACTGTTAATGAGTTGAAGCTATGAGCTTCTTTCTGACAGCAGAGGAATAAGGAAGGGTTACAACATCAGCTTCAGCAGCATCTACAAATGCTGCCTTTGGGTGATTGTTTAGTTTGTGCTCTTACAGAGACAGTCAGACAGATCTACAGTGCCAACTAGCTATTATTTTAGAAACATTCAGGCAGAGCAATCTCCTGTGGTATCTTCATTATTAGCTTCCTGAAAACCTCATGAACGCCTATAAGTCAGAGGTATGTCTGTCTTCCTCCCATGGATGCTAAGTTTAAGGTTAATTGTATCAAATAGAAGAAATGGTTTAATAAGATTTTGACATGGGGGGAGGTACCATTTTTTGATGTTAGACTGATTTTTCTCATTTCTTCCCAGAAGTTACTGCCACAGACTTTTTCATGTTAATGTGATTTAATAGGAGTATTATTGCTTAATATTATAATTATTTGTGATTGCCCCAATCTATGCTGGGTAGCAGTGCAAATTTTCTGCTGAGGAGTACAGTGTGTAGGGATCAGTTTAGTCTGGGCTAGACTTGAGCTCTGTATAATGTCACTGTGGAAGGTGCAAGGATATCAGCAGTGATTCACCACACATTGTTGCAGGAGGTAACAAAATGGCAATTGGGGATAGAAGTATTTAGCATGAAACTAGAAATCCCTTCAATCCATTGTCAAAGTGCATTAAAAGGCAAGTGAGTAATACACTGAGCAATTAGAGTGAACCTGTAACCAGAGAACTTTATTAAACTCAGTGTTCTTAAAAAATCACTGCACAGGTTGGTTCTTGTTGAGATTGATTGATAAGAAGAGAAAATAAGAACAATGATGAGTTTAGACATCAAAGCCAAGTTATCTTCTTTGTACCTGTGTGCCTGTTATTCTTGGCAACTTTCATTCCCTGGATCAGAAGAAGTGAGGTTTTTTACCCACGAAAGCTTATGCCCAAATAAATTTGTTAGTCTTTAAGGTGCCACCAGACTCCTTGTTGTTTTCATTCCCTGCTATTTGCTAACAATGTATTTGTCTTGCCTGGGCACTTGGCAGTGTCATGGCGATAGATCTGCTATAACTTCTGTGAACGTCACCTCTACACCTCCTGGAAGAAGAGCGTTCAAGCTCAGTGTGGCTAGAGCTCACTTCTTAAACTCCCATTCCAAACAAACAAAAGTAAGGCAGTAAAAATCTCATACTGGTATAAAACAATATAATTAAAGTTAACAGGATTACTCTGGATTTAAAACTGGTGTAAATAAGATCAGAATCAGGTGCTTCTTGACCAAGGAGGATGTTTAAAACAATGGAGCAAAATGTTTGTTACATTTATGGTTTAGTGGTGTCTCACCTTCCAACACCCTCTGTTATGCATAATTTATGCTTGCTTATTTAGCCTAACAAAGCCACGTTACTGCTGTTGCTTTTACAGCATTTTGTATATAATTATTCCACAGTTGCTTTTTGATATTACTTTGAAAAGTTTTTTCAGTGCACATACACACAGTGTCTGCCTCCTATCCCTCATTATTCTGTTCAAAACTTAGTGTATTGCAAGACAGATGGCTCAGTGCTATTCCACTTTAGCGGCAATCAAATCAAATTACAAAGCACCTTTTTGGGTTACTTATATATAGTTGCTTTTGCTTCCATGTGTATGTTTACCCATAAGGGATGTCTTAGAATTCAGATAGAGTGCACTTTGACAGGAAAAATAATGAGGCATATAAAGTAGGGGTCAGTTTGTGCTTAATGTCTTCCAGATGGCAGTGTGTAATATGAGATCAGATACTGTCCCTCCATCTGTCCAGTCAAGAAATTATATCTTTGTTTTGGTCCTTGAGGGCAGCGTTCTTCCCCACCCTCCTCCAGTGATAACATATTGATCAGAGAGCGCACCACATGGTCTGGTCCATGTAAGTGGGTTTTATTTACCAGACCCATAGAGTAGTGTCTTAACACTAAATAGGTAATGAGTTCACCAACTGTTCTGCCAAGCCATTTCCATTTCAGACATAAAACAGCCCTTCTTCCCCCCGCCCAGTCCACGTAAACATGCTGCACGAGAAAATAGTTTGGCTGTACTTACTAATCCAAGGGCAAACCTTCCCCCCGCTGTTAAGTGCAAAAGGTCTTTGTAGCAACAGTGCCACTGTGCATAGGGAAGGAAAGAATTTGGAGAGGCTGTGGAGTGGGCTGGGGAGGTCAGGGACGTCCCCAGTATGGTATAGAGCCCAGAGAGACAGACCAAGGGATTTGATGCTATGAAGATCCTCTAGTCTTTTCTACCTATGAAAGAGAGCTGCTGCCCTAGCCATTAAATTGGCGTGGCAGCTGCAGACCTGCATCAGTGTTGCTTCACAGCTTGAGGAGGAAAGTTCCTTCCCTCTTGGCGTTTCCCAGCAGCCAGCCCAGTTGCTCAAGCTGAGCAAGGGGAGAATAATGGATACAAAATCCACAGTAAGTATTTAAAAATATTAAAAGGCAAGTGAGATTGGTGGAGCTCAGCTATGGGAGCTAGGAAATTGGTTGCTCTAAGCCAGGCTATGACTCGCTGTGAGGCCTCAGAAAAAATCAATTAATCTCTCTACCTCAGTTTTCTCATCTGCGAAATAGGGATGTTAGTCAGGGTGTTGTGTCAAATTGAGTTCCTGGTGTGGAAACTGACTCTGCATGTGAATCAGGCAACTGCGAGGGCGTGAAATGTGAGTGACGTTCATCTGTGGTGGTGGTATTAAAATATACTAAGGGCAGCACTGTTATATAGGGAAGTGGGCGTGGCCTAACTGCATAATATGCCCGCACAGCAAAGGCCTCTTGGGGATTGTTCCTCACTGCAAGCTGTGCAGGAACAGGGGAATCTAGCAATAGAGGCTGTCAGGAAGTTTTGTTCAAAATTAATTTTTTTTTACAAAAAAACCCCAGAGTTTGAAAAATGTTTGTTTTCTGACGAGCTCGGCTCAGTAGGTTAATGATTGTGGAGGCAGGAGTTTAAAAAGCTCGGGGAGCTACAGTGGACAGCTGGTGTCTCTGGTGGTGTTTTAGCTAGGCCTAGTGGGCATGCTGCCAATTTGCTTTGAGAATAAAACAGTTTCATACTGAATCATGTTTCAGTAATGACTGTTGAGTTCTAACGTCGGCACTGCAAATTTGGCGTTGTGAGCTGGTGCAGATGCTGCCTGAAAGTCAGAGTTGCACCCTGGTCAAACTAGAGGGTTGTGGGAACCTGCTTTACTTTGGATGCTGAAGGTATGTCTGTACTGCAGCTGGGCGTGAGCCACCCAGCCGCCGGGGTAGGCAGACTTGCACTAGCTCCAGCTTCACTCAGGTTAACTTGCTAAATGCAGCAGTGTGGATATTGCAGCACGAGTGACAGCTCAGGCTAGCCACCTGAGTCCAAGACTGCCCGACTCCCGGGGTCCAAGCTCCCATGGCTCATCCGAGCCGCTGCCCATGCCGCAGAGTCCACACTGTTGTGTTTAGCTTGGTAATTTGAGTGGAGGTAGCACAAGTCTGTATACCTAGGCTGGGAGGCTCGCTCCCAGCTGCAATGTAGACAGACCCTGAGTTCAGTCACCCTGACGTCATTGCTGCACGAGTGCAGCAGCTAGTAATGGCAGACAGGTCTCACTTTGCACAGACCACATTCCCTCTGGCCCGAACCCAACTATGGGTGGTTCAACAAGTTACACAAGCAATGAATTGCACGCCCATGCTAGCAGCACTTCATCCCACTTCCACGTTCCGAGTGATTATTTTGTCTGTATCGAAACCACTCTGGCATCATTTGCACAACCAAGAAACAGAGCCCAGTTACCAGCCCCACACGGTCATTGTGGGAATTTAGTCATGTTTTATATAACATTTTGAAAAATGCAAAGTGCTCTCTAAATGTGAAGTGTTTGAAAATTGTTTTTATCAACATGGCTTATGTTATAGCCCATACAAAGTAAACCATCCCTATTAAAAAGTCAGTTCTGGCGGCTAGTTTCATTTTGAAACACGCATTAGAAATGACAGTAGACAAAATACGTTTCCATGGTAAATGTTTCCCTTTTATGTGCAGACTTGAAGGAATGTTGGTGGGAGAGAATCAAAAAGTGTGTGTGTGTGTGTGTGTGTGTGTGAGAAAAAGAGAGAGAGAGAGTAGTATTGTAAGCAGTTCACTGGTGTGCCTTTATTTCAGAATATTCTTGCAGTATTTTGGAGGGTGTACATGTATTAAAAAACACCCATAAATCTTATGTATATTTGGTGTGTTCCTGTCTTGACTAGCCTCCTTGTGCATTTGTTTCTTTTTGTGATGCTCTGTTTACACTCCTAGCAGATGTTCGATGCTCACTTATTTTTGGCAGTTTATTTTTTGCTTTTAGTATTTTCTTCTAGTTTTGGTGTGACCCTATGTAGTCATACAAATGCTGTATATATTTGACATTATTACTATATAAGGACAAAGGCAATTTTTAGCTAAGGGAAAAATAGTAAATGAAAAAGGAAATAGCTTGTTTCTTCAAAATGTGAAACTTACTCCCAGAAGAGATCAAAGTGACTGCAGATCCCACCACTTTAAGACATATACACACATGCACGCATGTCAGGAGACTAGAGAGTCCTATAAGCCACAAAAGCAAGATCTGCTTACCTAAAGAGAATAGTGTGAAATGATCTGTGTTGTTGCCCATAGCTTTTTACCTGGTTTCTGTCACTTAACTATAACCTGGTCTGGTTTGATCTGTACCAATAGTTGTTGTCTTACACTGGATGTTTTCCTACAGGAACCATAATTACTTTAAAAAAAATCTTCTGGAGTTTAGTTTTTCTGCATTAGTATAATCATTTGCAGACAAAGGCAGAAAGAGTGTAGTTACTAAATGGTTAAAATTATTAACAGATGGAAGGGAGCCTGTTCTGGAGAGACAGGATGGGTTAGGACAGCACAGCATGTAGCAGAAAGGAAGCCTGTGAGCAAAGAGGGCAGGGGATTTTTATTTATTTTACAGCAGCATGTTCTGGCTGGTTGTATTGCTGTTCATTTTATAAAGCCCGACAGCATTCTTTTTAATTTTTGCATTTGGTTAATGGTTTTGTTTTTATGACGCTGCAGATGCATTTGTCTGCTAAATCGTAGTCTTCTCTCTCGTTAACAGAACCTGCTGTGCGGGTTTTGCACATGCTCTGCTCGTCCCTTCCTGAGTTTTGTAAGTTGAGACATCTGTTGCCAGGTGGGGTTTCGTGGAGGTTGTTCTAGTTGAGGAGGAAGGCTGTCTCCCACATATCAGTAGAGCCCTGCAAATCTCTGGATATCTGCTTTATATCTGTGGGTATCCGCAGATGCAGATCTCTGCGGATCTTGTTTGCGGATCATGGATGGATGCAGATCCAAATTTTATATCAAGAGCCCTGCAAACCTGCAGATACACGCTTTATATCCAGGGACGCAGATATCCGCAGACCATGTTTGAGGATCAGATGCGGATACAAATTTTGTATCCACAGAGGGCTACCTATCAGCATTCCAGTCACCTTTGCGTACATTCTTTTTGGATGCAAATGCATGTGTTGACTGTACAGTGAGTGAAAGCCTATTTCTGGAGGCATTACATATTGGACCGAGTATTTGAAAATATCCCAATCGAAAGCTTCATTCTTTCATGGTTTAAAAATAAAAGGCTCCTTTCCCCCCAACCGAAAAAAAAAAAAAAAAAAGACCATTTTGAAAAATTGTCCAAATGGAGCTGGACAAAGATTGGCTCCATTATTGCAACACTTATTTTCAAAGGTGTTCACTGTTGTAATGCCACATTCCTGTTCTGATTGCTCGAAAATGGAATAAAGGCAACAGTAATGTTTTGTCTCTGGTGTCATGCCTGTTTCTGCTGTTCTTAAATGTCCATTGTCCTTTTTACTGTACACTATCCTGTGGCTCATCATTTAAAAAACAAAAACAAAAACACCCTGACAAAATTGCAGCTGTAACTTATCACCAGTATTTTCCTGATATAGTCAGGAGAGGGCACTCCGTTACCAAACTGACTTTCTTGCCATCACCATCATCATTGATACACCCCTGTTGGCTTTTAAAAAAATATATTTTACCTATTCTGAAATTAATGAACTGAAATCTCATATGTATTCTAAACTCAGCACTGTGAAACTTAGCAATATGGTGGAAGTTGCTTGGTATTAAAACAATACCGCAAATCTCTAACCCTAATGTTTTTATAGTGAAAATTCATTTAGTTCTGCAGCATATTGAAAGTTTCAAGAAAGAAAACTTTACTATTGTTTTTTAGGATTGGAAATGACAAACTGCTAAGCTCTCAACCTCTTGGGGGTGTTGTGGGGATTAATTATGGTTTGCAAAGTGATTTGAGATCATTGCATAAAGACACTACACAGCAGAACTGCCAAGTAGATAGATAGTAGCTATTAGCTATTTATTTATTCTGGGCTCTATATGTGGGAAAAGAAAACATGGCAGACTCATAACAAATCAGTCTGACAGTAAGCTACTGTCTCAAGGGTAATTTGCAAATGTTGATGAAAACTTCTTGGCATTGATTACATTTTGCAGAGGTTGTTATTTATAATAATTGAATTGTTTTGCAGCACTTCCCAGCCTGGTAGCTGCAAAGAAGTTGAGCACCCTGTTACATCTGTTCCTGAGGATGCATCCTTGGCTCCTACACCAGCTGATGATGTAGGATCACTTGCTCAAGACAGTGAGGGATTGACAAAGGAAATAAAGAGGTATTGTAATGATGTGTTTTATCCAACTTCTGTCTTGGGTGTTCCCTGCTTCAGAATATATGCAATAATTTTGACATGTTTGTCCAGAAATGAGTGTCTTTTGGAAAGAGGTACTCAACTATCTTGTTTTGCTCAGATAAGCACTATTCACAAAGGCCAGGAGAGGGAGCTTGGATTGTGTCAGTGGTGGTGGTTCTGATGTTCCATATCCTTTTATATCTAGTGTTAGTGAATTGAGTTACTAAGCCAGATTTTGCATTTTGAAGTTGGATTCAGGAATTGCTTTTCTGATGAACTGTGTATGTTCAGGTCCAGGTTGTGCTCAGCATCATCTGGCATGAACTAGTAAGATATACCAGTCAGGATCTGGGGTGTAATTCAGTTCAGTGAGAGGTTATGTCACTGCTTGTCCTGTAACCCTGAATGCCTTAAAATGCTCTGCTGCTGGTCCTCTCTGTCTGGATGCTCCTAGCCAGGATACAAGCGTGCACTGAGTGACTTTGTGATGAGCAACCCTGGTTCAGCAACTCAGACTCCAACTCAGCCTGCTTGTCACACCACAGTCACACTCCGGACTACACCAGCCTTGGTTACTACTAGCCAAGTGACCCTCACCCCCACCCTAGTGCTGATTTTCCCACAAACCATCTACCCTGAATTGTTGAGCCCCCTCCTGGAACAGTCAGAGGAGTAATAAGATCCATTGCTCTTTTAAAGAGAGAAAAACATGGCAACTTATTGCTTTACCCGGAGTTACTTTAAATCACTTTAAATAAACCCAGTACTGTGTTTGACTTGTGATTTAAAAAAAAACAAGTTTATTTAATCCAAAAAGAGAGGTTTTAAGTGAGTACAAGTATAAGGGATGAAGCCAGCAATGGTTACAAACAAATACAAGTGAAAAATGCTCTCTAGTGACTAAGACTTAACAAGACTACAGTCTTGGATCAAGGTGAAATTCTGACCATGCATCCTCCCAGCAAGATGGCTGACCACCCGTTGATCAGGATCGCCCACAGAGTCCAAAGTGCTTGGGTCCTTTGCCTTCTTAGGGAAGGATCACTTGGGGTTCTTTGCCCCTCTCTTTTATAGTCCAGTGAACTTTTGAAATGTAGCCTTCTCAAAGTTCAGTGGTCCTGCTGTGAGGGAAGATACCATGGAGTCTGATGGAGAAGGTTCGATGGCTTCTTCTCTGGTGCTTTCTACAGTGCAAATTGATCTGTCCCTGCAGCCTCTGATAGGCCAATGAGTGACCACTTGATTGTGACTGCCAATTGTCTGTGATTGCACCTGGATGGAGGCACCTTCTGTCTGGAAAAAACCTGCTTACTCACTCCTCAGAAGAGACTGGTTGAAACACAGTAACATCATACAGAGCGAATTCCTAACTTCATATATAACATTAGCACATGTATTTTACGATGATCTTAACTGGTGTTATTAGCTTTCATGTGATACTTGTACAAAATATGTCTTGAGAGGTGTTATTGCAGGAGTGTGTAAATACAGGGGTGCATAGGGTCACAATACTACAGCTATTGTCAGCGAAGGAGGAATTTAGCTCTACACATAGGAGAAACCCCTGATATTAGTTTCATGGAAGAAATGTCAATTTATCCCCATTTCCAGGTGAACATAGTCCTCCTTAAACGTTCCCAAGCTGACCAAAGAGATTTACATAAACTATGCACTAGTATTTGACAGACGGTCTGTGGCATTTTTTGTCTCAGACCATCTATAAGCTGAATCCTCCCACCTCAACTCTAATAAATATGAGACATGCCCTTGGATATCCGTGTTAGGTGCACTAAGTAACACCAATCAAGAGACGTGCAACAGCAGTGTGGGAGTGAAGGCATGCTCATATTAGGACATCTGTTAATGGAAAAACCACAACACAACTGAGAATATAAAGTGGACACACCCTGGAGAATATCTTCCTCCACCCACAGATTTACATTGGCAGTTTGTGATGAGTACCATATGAATTATGAGAAACCACATACATCAGTATACAGAAATGTCAAAAGATGCAGCTCTCAGCAGGAAAATTCTCTGAATCACAGATGAAAATGACTGCGCATTATCACTGCAATATTCACACCTCGCTGATGAATGAAATAGGGACAGGAACCAGTGTGTATGCCACAGTATAGCAAACACCATTCACAGTACTAATATTCTGGGACATGTAGCATGTGTCAGTCAACTGTCTTCAGCGATGCATTAGGGCTTATCTACGCTGGCAAGTGTCTGTGCAATATAGCAGCTTTTTGCGCTCAAACTGCAGACGTGTACACGCTGCCAAGCCACTTTGTGCACAGAAAACCCACTTCGACGAGAGTCCTAAGGCTATTTGCGCAGCGGCTCCAGCGCTCTATTGCCAGGGTAGACACTTGATTGCTTTCTGTGCTGTAATTGGCCTCCGAAGCTGTCCCATAATGCCTCAAGTGACCGCTCTGCTCATGGTTTTGAACTCTGCTGCCCAGGAGACATGCGCCCCTCCCCTTTCAAAGCTCCGTTTCTGACAGCCCTTGCGAGCTGTGCTGATCTGCTCCAGGACACAAAGCAAACCATTAATGTGGAATGCTGGTGCTGTTGAACACAGAAGCAGGTGTCTGTGTGCATGTGTGTCTGAGAGAGAGATTGCTGTGCAGAGAGCCCAGGGAGGAAGGTGGGGGCTGATGTAGGGGTTTCCCTCCCCCTGCCTTAGGACTGGTTGCTTCCTGCCACTGTCTGAACTTACAAGACAGCCTGCTGACACACTCACTGTCCCCCAAGACACACTCGCTCTCTTCCCCACTCCATATGCACACACACTCCCTGTCACACTCTCTCCCTCCTCCCCACTTCAGTTGACAAGCAGCTGGCAATGTAGTAGGTTGCCCATGGAACAATGGGATTGGGAAACCTGAATCATGTGATGCTGTGCCTGCCCCATGAGGCATTGCGAACCCTTCCCAAAGCACCCTGCAGCCAGTTGCACAGTGGGATAGCTCCCACAATGCACCGCTCTCTTTGCCATTGCAAGAGCTGCTAATGTGGATGTGCTCCAGCGTCACAAGTAGCACAGTGTGGACACGTAACAGCGGTTTAATTCCGGCGTTTTAATAAAAGTGGTATAACTTGTGGCGCAGAAACTTGCCAGTGTAGACATACCCTTAGTGTTTGAAGCTAGTTGTCTGCTCCTGGTGTAAAGTTGACATTGCTGCACTTGAGCAGTGATGGGTGATGATTGTTCCTATTATTGTGATTTTCCCCTTTAGTTTTTTTTTTTAAGGTGTGTTTGTTCCATTTATGTGTGTGTGTGTGTGTGAGTGATCATTTCTGCTATTTGTCTTAAACTGTGTCCATTGATCTGAACGTGAAGATTCGACCTGCAGTAGCATATGGGTAGGATGGGCCTTCTCTTTAATGATGATCCACCATGATACTGTATTGGACCACTTTTTTTCTTTTGAACCTCTTAAGACACAAACCTCCGAAAGTTGAGAGAAAGAAAGAAAAAGGTTCTTAAATGAAATAGCATAGCCAGCAGGAGTGCAGAGATCTGTGAACTTTGCGGAGAATTGTCTGAGTGGAGGATGCCACACTAGTTTTCTATAAAATAAAGCTATTTCCATATTAGGTGGATAAACTTTTTAACTAAAAATATTGTGTATAAATCTTGGCATTTCTTTGAAAGCTGTTGACTTACATAGCCTCTAAGGGTATGTCTGCACTGCAATAAAAGACCAGTGGCATGGCCACGGCTGGATCAGGTCAGTTGACTCAGGCTTGGCCTGTGGGGCTAAAAACTGCAGTGTAGATGTTTGTGCTTGGGCTAGAACTCAGGTTCTGAGACGGAAGAGTCTCGGAGCCTGGACTCCAGCCTGAACCCCAATGTCAATTGACCCAGGCTCTGAGACTCAGTTCCAGGGGGCTTTATTGCAGTGTAGATGTACCCTTAAGGCCAGAAGGAACTTTCCAGAGGAGGAGAATTCCTGTATTTTGTGCTGTCTTAAGGAGCCAGCGTAACAGAATAGTTTTAACTATTAGTTTGTTTTGTACTGCCCTAGACTCCAGTGAGGTCATGAGGAGCTGAGTGAAATTTTCAGTCAAGCCTTAAACTGAGCAAAACTCACCTAGCTTCAGGTTTAATTACAAACCAGAAACATGGGCTATTTTTCAGAGAAGCTCACTGCATTTTTAACTTTATGGCAAGCCTGGGTTGACTTTCAACTGAATGTGGACTATAGTTTGGATCATAGTGGCATGCCATGTACAAATAGGATGATTGCTTATTATATATCCCAAATCAGGCAAATATAGTGGCTTCACTTTAAATTTTTGAGTTCATCACAGCTCCCAACTCAAAGAGAAACTCAGGATACAAAGCTACATGTGTAGGGAAGAGCAGGTGTTGCAGAGAAAGGAAACCTAAAAAGCAAGCAAGCGATCTTTCATTCAACTCTGATAACGCCTCAAATAATTATCCCATTAATAATATAAAATATGCATTTGACAAAAATTGTATGTGTTTATATTCCATTATAAATAATCAGCTGGCTAATTTATATTAGTAGAGTTGCATAAAACACAATTGAAGTCCAGTCAGCAATGTGGAATCTCAAATATATGTTGCCAAGTATCACATTTGGACGTGGCAGAAAGTGATCTTAACATCTTCTCTGATTTAAAAACAAATGTAGGTGTGCGTTCTCACTGGAGTGTGAGAGGAGAATTTCCACTAATGTTAATGGAAGTTGTGCTTGCGAGTTGAGGTGAGAATTGCACTATTTGCCATGGGGCTGTTCTACGGTGGGAAGGAAATAAAATACAATTCTTACAACCTCATGCAAAATAAATATATTACTGTCTAAATTACTATTTGCCATTGTAATCAAGCCCCTGGTGTAAATACTCTATGATTCACAGAAAAATGTGAGGTAGTGCATGTGTGTTAAGTCCTGTCAAATCAGCCATATAAAATAACTGCATAAAAATTAGGTCATGTTTCA